TGTGACCCAGGGTTTCACGCTACTTGCGATCGTCAAACAAAGAAATAGCGTGAAATCTAGAACTACAAACTCACATCAATCCAACTAAATATATATATAGTTTCAAATGCATTAAATATATAGTCTTAACTTATGTTGACTTCGTCAGAGTTAAATTTATTCCATAATATATTATGAGGACGGTTTTTTAATACAAAAAAGAGAGTTACCCCCCCTTGATGCACAGGGATTTTTAGTAAATTCAGTTTTATTTAAACTATTAAAATTATGTAAAAATTCTTTTTGAATTTTTCGGCTTTCAAACTTAAGAATTCGAACGTTTAGATTATAAATAATTAATTATAATATTAATAGGAAACAATAATAAAATAATCAACTCTTAACACATAATTTTAAATCAGCACCACGAAAACGCGAATAACTCTTTGACTGTTAATAGGTATTTTCCCTGAATATATATATATATATATATATGTGTGTGTGTGTGTGTATATGTGTGTTTATATATATATATATATATATATATATATATATATATATATATACACACACACATATATATATATATATATATATATATATATATATATATAATAGCTTGTCCTCGTATTCGAGGATAACCGTCTACTAAGAGGGCTAGACAAAACAGACGCTCGCTCAGGCACAATCCACAGAATCAACCTGTGGTTTATACTGCAACTATGCTGAGCAGATCTTAGTTACGGTTTCTGGGAGAGAATGTGTTATCTAGCAGGATCTACATGATCAACAATCTGAACAACGCCAGCACACTCAAACGCTGGTCATACTCCTGACTAATACCGTGGTGAAATTTGAACCCAGGTCTCATGGTGAGAAAACTGCACATTTAAATATTTTATGGTAAAAAAATTTAACGATTCTAGGAATAAGCAAAATTTATTGGCATTTTAAAAGCTAAATAAAAAAACAGGTTTTCGTTCCAGCCTTATCAAGTTTATTTTTGGGATAGAAATATATATATATATATATATATATATATATATATATATATATATATATACGGTGTGTAAATTTGATTAATATACAAATGGAAAAGAAAATGAATTTTACCAACATTTCAGACCCGGTAAGCATTCCTTCTGTTTACTAAAGGGGGATCTGATTTACAGGATCTATATACAAAGGACTCCTGGAACCTTGATAAAATGAAAAATGGTCCGTACTAAAATATAAAACAATTCCTTCTATTTATTACATATAATATAGTTGACATTTCCTGGCATCTGGATTCAAAATCCTGGGTGGGTAAATTCTTAGATCCAAAACGTTGGGACGTCCTCCCTTTTTAGTAACACTTATATTTATAAATCACTGAATTAACATGATGGTGGGGAGGATGTGATTCCAAATGAAATAGAAAACAGGACGGGTAACAAATATTACCCGAACATTAGCCGAAAAATAACTGCTATTAATCACACGCGAAATTCGTCTAGCTAAAGACTCACCCCTCTGAACCAATAAAGGGGAGATGCAAATAAACTGGACATTTTTCAATAAAATGCGGCTTAACCCTATGAAATTTGCTGATGACATCTTGGATAACAGAGTCCAAAACATCCAAAGGATATCCGTTTTTTGAAAGTGTCATCTTAATAAAATCAGTTTCACACACACACACATACACATACACACACATAGATAGATAGATAGATTGATAGAGAGAGAGAGAGCTTACATCTTAACTTTTAAAAGTGAATGTCCACCCAGATACAAAATAGCTGTGTACAAAAAAAAACTTCCTAAAAAGAACACAACAGAATTCATCCTCTCGATTACTCTTCCTTAAAGAACTCAACAATATAAAACAGACACTAGTTAACAATGGCTGCCATAACCACCTTATAAACCACCAAATTAGATTATTTCTCCCCAAAGTAAATAACAAGGTTAGTGAACACACAGTCAAAAATAACATAAATATTTTCTACCAAAGTCAAATGCATAATGACTACAAACAAATTAATCTTCATTTAGAAATATTATAAAGAAATACAGTGTCCCAATTGACCTGAATAAAAAAAAAATCAAATTAATTATCTACTATAAAAAAATTTAAAATAGATAAACTTATGCTAAAAAATAACAACACACCAACTAAGTTAAAATTACAACGAACGAACATTATCTATGAGTTCAAATACCCCTTAAGGAACTGTGTTCCTAATCAAACCGGACTCTTAAATAATTACATCGGTTACACAACCACATGCTTATCCAGACGGTTTACGTTACACCTATCTGATCACAGCTCCATTAGAATCCATTTAAACACACACGCAAACTTACCAAACTCCAGCTGGAACAGACTAGTAGAAAATGCAAACATAATAATCGCATCCAACTATAAAAATATTTAAAATAATGGAAGTCTTAATAATAAAAAAAAGAAAAAAAAAACAAGATTTAATAATGTTAACTACGAACAAGGCTGTGTTCGGAAAAAAAACACACAACAAAAAACATGTCTATAACACCAAAAAACATACACACAATCCACACACCCAATTAAAAAGCAAAAAGAAAATCATCCTTGATAATGGCTAAATGTATAGCCGAAAGCGCTCGGAAATACAGAACATTTGAACAGTTTCTGCACACTCTGTATCCAGAAAAGAAAAGACTTGTTCGAAAACAAGAAAAATTAAATAAAAAGCTTAAACGTAGTACCTTGTCTGTCCTCTTTAATAAATATATATATATATTATATAATAAAAAAAAGGCTCAAAACTAATATTCCATGGTTATAATTTATTACATTGGAATTAATCACGTTCAATTCATCAGACTTACAAATTTGTCGGTCTGATGAAAGATCGTGATACGATTCCAATAATATATATTGTTTGAGCCTTTTTTATTTATTCTTATTCCGTCCTGGACATTGATTTCTACCTGGATTATAATATATATATATATATATATATATATATATATATATATATATAGTTATACTCGTTTGGAAAAACCTTAGTTATTTTGGCTTGTAATTGCACAAAACAATGCCCAAGGAAAATAAGGGATAAATAAAAAAAGAACTAAGAACGTGTAATCGAGAAAAAAAACAATCGTCCGGAATCCAACTCAGAGTCCAAAGAAAAAAACCTCCAAAACAAGTAAAGCAAAAAGTAAAGTGTAAGGTAAGTTTGCCTAGCTCTTTAAATTCATATATATATATATATATATATATATAAATAAAGTTAAAAAGAAATAAAGTATGTATAAAAGAGAGGTGCCGCAAAATGTGGATTTATTTAGAAAAAAATATTATGCTTTGTTTTACATAATTTTACGAAAAGAAATTCGGATTACCAACACACAAACAGAGAATGTCTCATATCGAGAATATTTCTTGAACATGAAGAAAAATTAATTATTTTTAATAATATGTAGAAATCTCCACTTTTACCTGAAGACGGTCTTGAGACAGAAACACGTGTTGTAAAATTATGTAAAACAAAGCATAATATTTTTTCTAAATAAATCCACATTACAACCAAAAACGTTTGCGGCACTCTCTCTTCTTTTATATATATATATATATATATATATATATATATATATATATATATATATATGTCGATATATATATATATATTGACCACTAATATATATATATATATATATATATATATATATATAGTGTAACCCGGATATAAGAAACTCGGATATAAGAGAAACCCGGATATAAGAGACTTCTTCTCCGGTCCCGACAACTCTCTAATATCCGGGTTACACTGTATATATATATATATATATATATTCCATCGCTAAAGTTTAAAAATAATAGTTGCACCTCGTAAAAAATGAATAAATTATTTCTACACAAACTTTAACGCAGATATACCCACGCTTGCGAGATAGAAATTATATATTTAAATACACAAAAACACTAATTTAATTTGTACTCATGAAAAGAAACAAACACGCAGGCCACGTCAAATAAACACTCAATGTCCGCATCGCCATCACTTTTTTTTTCTCTAAATTTAATGAAACTCTTCGCAAGAGTTATTTTTGCTCTCCAATAAATAAATAAATTACCCCTCCCCACTATGCTGGCCAACTGTTACGTCATTAGGGCCTAAATAATTCACATTCAAAAATGATGACTACTTCAATGACCTCCGACCGTAGTGGGTGTTTTTGTTTTTTTTCATTCTGTCAGTTCCAAATTAACTCAACCCTTAGAGGTTATCTCCATTTGCGACCATAATCGACGACATTAGACATGAGCAAAAAAAAAAAAAAAAAAATATAAAAAAAAAATACAGAACAATATTACAACGAACGCCACCCGCCATTTTGTCAGCCATTTTATAACGACATTAATTTTCCCGCCTTCGTCCTTTGTTTTCCCGCCCTTTTCCCCCCACCATTGTTTAAATAAATAAATAAATAAATCAAAGAAAACATTGTTATTATAATGGCGGCCGTATCGCTACGTCAAACATCATTAGAGATTAGTGTGTTGATCTTTCATACCGCTTGTGTGTTTGTTTATTTATTGGATATTTCGAGGTGGGAAGATGGTAGCCATTTTCTTTCTTTTTTCTTTCTTTTTTTTTTTCTTTTAAGGCGTGGATGAGCGACAGAAAATGTTCGTTTTTACTGCTGTTTTGTCTTTGTCTCCCCCCCCCCCCAATAAACCAATAAACCTTCCGTCCCTTGTTGCTACATCCGTTTCTCCCTAGATTTTGATTGTGTCGCTCCACATTTGGCCATTTGGTGTTGTAAAAAAAAAAGCGCTGAGATGTCGATAATTCGCATCAGATCCAATCATCTTCAAACGCACTCAATACGACGTGTGCGCATGCGTCCACACGCTCATTTTTCACGCGGCATACTCATGTAAAAGTCGATTCATCTTTTTGAAGTCAGCGATTGCAGAGTGACTAATTTTGAGCGCTCAAAAATTTATACTTGAATCAAATCAGATAAATTCGTTTCAGAAGAACATTGCCAAGAGAGCGAGCGAGAGAGAGAGAGAGAGAGAGAGAGAGAGAGAGAAATTGATGTCTACAAAGAAGGTATTTTTGTTTCTTTGAGAATGTCAGTAATTAACGATGTACTTTTTTTTACAAGAACAACATAAACAGAATCTTTTACTGAACTGTTACGTGACATATGTCCTTCTTTACGGTAGCGAATGCTGGGCGATTTCCTCAAAGATGAAGAAGAGACTCGAGGCGACGGAGATGTCGTTCTACAGAAGGATGCTAAGGATATCATGGACCGAGCGTGTGAGCAAAGATGAGGTCTTAGAGGATGCATACAAGGAGGAAGCTTATACTTAACATCAAGAAGAGGTAGCTGAAGTTTCTGGGACACATATTGAGGAAGGAAAGCCTGGAGAATCTGATACTCACAGGTCGAATAGAAGGAAAGAGAGACGAAAGAAAACAATACATGACATACCTAGCGGCCTTAAGCAAGTGGATGACAAAACATGGTCTGGGGGAGGAAGCAGAGGGAAGGAGCTTGCTGAAAGTTGCAAGGGATAGAGGGAGGTGGAGAGCCATGATCGCCTACGTCTTGAAAGGACGCGGCTTATAGAAAGGAAGAAATTAAAGCATTTATATTTAAACTTAAAAGAAAATGCATTCTCAGATAGATACAGTTAATTAGAGCGTAGTCTTTGGCTTCTTTCTTGTTATGTGCCATGTCCTTTCAAGACGTAGGCGATCAGGGCTCCCCATCTCCCTTTATCCCTTACAGCTCTCGGTAAGTTCCTTCCCTCTGCTTCCCTCCCCAGACCAAGTTCTGTTATCTACTTGCTTAAGCCCGCCAGGTATGTCCTGCGTTGTTTTCCCTTGTCTCTCTCTCTCTCTATTCGACCCGTGAGTATCAGATTCTCCAGGCCCTCCTTTCTCATTACGTGTCCCTGAAATTTCATCAGCCTCTTCCTAATGTTAAGTATAAGCTTCCTCCTTATTTTATGATCTCTCTAAAACCTCCTCGTTGCTCACACGCTCGGTCCATGGTATCCTCAGCATCCTTCTGTAGAATCATATCTCCGTTGCCTCGAGTCTCTTCTTCATCTTTGAGGAGACCGTCCAACCCTCGCTGCCGTAAAGAAAAACAGATGTCACGTAACAGCTCAGTATTCTTTTCTTTGTTACCAAAGAAATCCTCGTGTCTTGCAATACTCTGCCCAACTTTTGGAATGTGTCCTTGGCCATTCCAATACGTCTACGGATCTCAGTGTCGCACTTACCGTCCTCTGTCAAGACGCTTCCCGCTTCTGTGTGCCTTTGATTCTAGTGTTCCCGATCTGACTAGATTTACATAAAAAGGACCATGCATTTGTTTACGTATTGAAACTCTTCCAAATAGATTTGAAAGAAAAAGCATTCCCTGGTGTCTCCAGTTAATTTGCACATGATCTTTTGCTATATTTGCATTAAAACGAACATTGCATTAATTTCTGTATTGTAACATTTGAAATATTTGGAGTTAAAAAAAATGATCAGGTGACTGCAGTAAATTTACTGACGGTTTTATTCAAGTTATAAAAAAAATTAAGTTCAGTACTACAGCACTTACAATATTGAAAGAAGAAGCATTCCCAGCTGTCTGCAGTCAAGTCACATGTAGTTTTTAACTTGGTTTATTATCGGTATCTGTCTGTATTTTTGAGATCAGGTATAATGTACACTATTTACATTATTCCGATTATTGTCCTCATCTTTGTCGCCATATTTATTACAACGTTTCGGCCGTTGTACGCTCCGGCCTTCTTCAGGTGGTTGGAATATCGAACTGAACCCTTTATTTCGCTCACTGGGGTAGACTGTTCTAGTTCCACATGCAATGTTTAATGGATGTCAGTTGTCTCCTGTTAATTCCCCTCTCCAAGTTCTCCACTGCCTTAACCGGGTATTGAACTCACACTCTTTGGGTCCTGTCATTGGATCTAACTAACGCCTTTATCCACTGTGCCATGTGTCCTTGAGGAACGAGAACAGTCTACACCAGTGAGCGAAATAAACGGTTTTGGTACCTATACCATCGATAAAAATAAGTTTTAGTGCCAGAAATACTTTTTTGGAAAAATTATTACCAGCAATAAAACATTTTATCGGCTGATGTGCCGTAAAACAAAACAAATCAAACCAAAACAATATATACTGAGATAGATAGATAAAAAATGTTACCATCAATAAAAATCTTGTCGACATTAAATAATACATTGTGGTTGATATGACGTAAAACAAAGCAAACCAAATCAAACCAAATAATATTTACTGAGATAGATAGATAGATAGATAGATAGATAGATAGATAGATAGATAGATAGATAGATAAGAGACTGGCATAGATAGATAGATAGATAGATAGATAGATAGATAGATAGATAGATAGATAGATAAGAGACTGGCATAGATAGATAGATAGATAGATAGATAGATAGATAGATAGATAGATAGATAGATAGATAAGAGATGGATAGATAGACTGGATAGATAGATAGATAGATAGATAGATAGATGGATAGATAGATAGATGGAGAGACTGGGATAAATAGATAGATAGATAGATAGATAGATGGATGGAGATTGGGATAGATAGATAGATAGATAGATAGATAGATAGATAGATAGATAGATAGATAGATGGATGGATAGATAGATAAAGGGACTGGCATAGATAGAGATAGATAGATAGATAGATAGATAGATAGATGGATAGATAGATAGATAAGACTGGCATAGATAGATAGATAAAAATGTTACCATGATAAAAATCTTGTCGACATTAAATAATCCATTGTGGTTGATATGCCGTAAAACAAACCAAACCAAACCAAATTAAATAATATATACTGAGATAGATAGATAGATAGATAGATAGATAGATAGATAGATAGATAGAAAACTGGATAGATAGATAAGAAACTGGCATAGATAGATAGATAGATAGATAGGAGACTGGCATAGATAGATAGATAGATAGATAGATAGATAGATAGATAGATAGATAGATAAAAAATGTTACCATGAATAAAAATCTTGTCGACATTAAATAATCCATTGTGGTTGATATGCCGTAAAACAAACCAAACCAAACCAAACCAAACCAATATATACTGAGATAGATAGATAAAAAATATTGCCAGCAATAAAATTCTTCTCGGCATTAAATAACCTATTGCCGTAAAACAAAACAAACCAAACCAAACCATTTTGTTGGGACCCGGAAAGAAATGAGTACAAAAGAGAAATCAAAGGAAATGATAATACTACTACTACTACTAATAATAATAATATTATTAATAATAATAATAATCAATGATTTTGCATCAATAAAAAATGACAATAGTGACAATAAACATTTTCTAGAACTTGACGCTTGGCTTGATCTACATAGCAAGATTTCAATATTGTATTTTTCCTACCGTTACGCACATTGTCTTTCTGACAAGAGCATTCGATGGTTCGAGGCTTTGATGGATGACGCTGTCGTTACGAGATAATAGGAGGTATTTATTATCGCATATAAAATCTGAAAAAGATATCAACTCGAACACACGTAAACATTAATATATAATTACGAACACCATGTGTCGATTGCTTCAATTGATCTAATGAGCAACAGTACATGTTCGAATCAATCGATTGATTATCCTGGAGGAGATCGTAGAAAAGGTTAGGGTTCTAATATAATCATTTTAATATCATGAAAAAACAGGAAGATTTCATTAAAAACGAAGGAAAGTGTGCTGAACGTCTGTGTAATAACAATCCTCTTTTAGGCAGCGAATTCCGAACGATCCCCTCACAGGAAAAGAGACTTGAAGCAACAGAGACGTGGTCCTACTGATGACTGTCCTGAAGAAAAAAAAAAAAGCCTCCTGGACTGCTATGTAATATCTAATCTCTTATATGACTGAGTACTAGTTACATTATTCAGACTATTGTCCTCATCTTTGTCGCCATATTTATTACAACGTTTCGGCCGTTGTACGCTCCGGCCTTCTTCTGGCGGTTGGAATGACGAACTGAACCCTTTATTTCGCTCACTGGGGTAGACTGTTTGGGGCCATGTTTAATGGATGTCAGTTATCAGTTATCTCCTGCTAATTTCCCACACCAAGTTCTCCACTGTCTTAACCAGGTATTGAACTCACACTCTTTGAGTCCTGTCATTGGATCTAACCAACGTCTTTATCCTCTGTGCCATGTGTCTTTGAGGACTCATGGCACAGTGGATAAAGCCGTGGAGAACATGGCAGTGGAGAACTTGGAGAGGGGAATTAACAAGAAATAACTAATAACTGAAGTAGGTAAGCATGTGTATTTTCGACATCTTCACTTTGCTTTTATTCAAGGTCACAAAGTTGCCAAAGATGGCCGTGATATTTGTGCTGTAATATTTGGAACAACTACATAAAATCAATAGCTTCATCGACCGCAAGGAATATTGGTTCGATCTGTTGTGTCAGAAGGATTTTTCACGCCTAAGTCTATCCTTCAAATCTAAAAATCTACCATTCATCCTTGCATTGTAAGCTAATAACACCGTAAAAATGTTAGAAGAAACTGAATATTCATATTAGGGTGTTACAGATATTCGTTCGTTTTTCTGATGTTCCGCGAATAATCTTGAAGAACAAAAAACATTATTTTTTTGCTTATGAAACTTTTGTTTAACGTTAACGTTGTGAAACTTTTGTTAAACGTTATAGAAATTTTATTTCCGACGAGACACGCCTTTGAGATGGAATGTCAAATAGGCAAGAATCTTTGTTTTTAATCAAGGTCACAAAGCTGCCAAATATGGCCGTGGTATTTGGGCTGTGTTTGAAGATAATTCTTTAACTGACGAGAGAATGGCATAGAAACACTTTTCCCGTTTTAAGGAAGGGGAGTTCGAACTCAAAACTCTCCACGTTTTAGCCGACCTGTCTAGTTTCATGAGAACCAATTTCACGCGCTCATTAAAAAGAACCGTGCCAGATCACTAGGCAATTGGCTCAGAAGATAGCAAGCTCTCGTGTAACTGTCGCTCGACATCTTCACTCAATGGATAAAGTTGAGAAATAAGGCGCATGTATGCCACACGCATTGACCGAGTGAAACACACTTCAGTGCTCCTCTATTACCGCCATTTTACTCGTTCGACACCAGTCTATTCGTAGATACAAAAGAAAATGCTCCGTTGGGAAGTTCTAGCTGAACCACCATATTCTCCCGCTGTAGTCCCTTCAGACTATCGTCTTTTTCGACCGGTTTCTAACAATTTGAAGGGTGTTTCACTCAACAACGACGTAGAGCTTAAAACGTGGCTTGATAAATTACTGCTTGATTTTTTTGCGAGTCAGAACCTAGTGACTTCTATCGGAGAGACATTGAATATTTGGTGGATCCTTGGTCGTTAAAAATGGAGGGGAATGGATTAATGAATGATTCATTAAAACTATTAATTAATAATAAGTATTAAGATTAATTATAAAAAGCGAAAGAATTTCTGTAAAAAAAATCATTATTAGCATTATGCCAACAATAGCTGTATTCTCTATTCTCTCAGTAAAGGATGCATTAATTCTTGACTAATTACAATTCCTTTAATTCTGATTGATTCCAGGCGAATGACAATTTAATTTCCCTTATTTCAAATGCATTACTTTAGTAAAATCCTTTGCAATACATTTTTATTCTGTATATAATAGCACTATTCTGTCAGTACTGTTGCAGGAATTCCTGATCACTTAGAATTTAATCCTTCCTTTAATACAATTAGCTAAATAGTTTCAAATGAAAAAATCTTTAGGTTAACCAACTTACATTTTATCTGAGAAGTTATTAATCATGTAAGGCAAGCTGGAGAAGGATTCATTGAATTTTAATTTTTTGGCCCCTTCAGACTAGCACTTATTTTCTAGCAGTTTCTAACAATTTGAAGGGTGTTTCATTCAACAATGATGTGGAGATTAAAACGTGGCTAGATGAATTATTGGAGTCAAACCCTAGTGATTTCTATTGTTGAGACATTGAACAGGTTGTGGATCATTGTCAAAAGGTCATAAATAATGAAGAGGAATAAATTGTTGCATGATTCATCAGAACTATTAATAATTAGGTATTGAAATGATAAGAAAAACAAACAGATTGAAATGAACTCTTTATTTAATCTACAAGGGTTTTTGTTCTTTTGCTCATGTCTAGGGATATTGTCTCGTTCCTATTTTATATATTACAGTTCAGTTATTGCTCAACTGTCTCTACTGAGTACAAGTCCACACTGTCCGGCCCAAGGATTGAACTCACAGTCACTATGTCACACCTTGATTTGCCCCCTTCAGACTAGCACTTTTTTCAGTCGCTTTCTAACAATTTGAGGGGTGTTTTGTTCAACAACGACGTGGAGCTTAAAACGTAGCTTGATGAATTTTTGGATTCAAAACCTAGTGATTTCTATTGTTGAGGCATTGGACAGTTTGTGAATCATTGTCAGGAGGTCATAAAGAATGAAGAGAAATAAATTGTTGTATCATTCATCAGAACTATTAATAAGTAAGCATTAAAATGATTTGAAAAACAAAGAAATTTAATCATCTTTAGTAGCATTTTTTGCTTCTTATTAACGCTCGTCATCCTTGAAATCATTTTATTTCATAATAGACCACCCCGCCTTTCAGATGGAATGCCAAGTAGACAAGAATAAGCATATCCGACATCTTTGCTTTTAATCAAGGTAACAAAGATGGCCGTGATATTTGTGCTGTGTTCGAAGATGACTTCTTAACTGACGACAGAATGGCACAGAAATGATTTTCCAGTTTCAAGGAAGGGGAGTTCGAACTCAAGGACTCTCCACGTTCTAACCAATCTGATCAGTTTCATGAGAACAAACTGCGGGCGCTGAATGAAGAACGTCGCCAGACCCCTCACAGGAATTGGCCCAGAAGATGACAAGCTCTCGTGTTACTGTCACTCGTCATCTTCACTCAATGGGTAAACCTCACGACAACCAAACGGTCAGTGCTAAGCTGCACGTTGAACTAATGAGCCGGCTCAACCAGATAATTCAGTTGAAAGGCTCTGACCAGCAACACAATTCACCATGACAATTATCGCCCCCACGTCGTTAACATGAACAAACATGCAATTAAAGAGCTCGGTTGGGAAGTTCTGCCACTCCCATCACAATCTGCTGATTTAGCTTCTTCAGACCATCACCATTTTTTAAACAATTTGTGGGACATTTGGTTCAACAACAATGTAGAACTTAAAACGAGGCTTGAGTACTAGGGTTCGAGGATTATTGGCAGGAGTTCGAAAACAATAAAGGGAAAGAAATTGTGGAATTATTCATCAGGACGATTATTCATAAATGAATATTGAAGTAAATTATAAAAATAGGAACGAGTTCATTAACAACCTAATTATTAGAACTATACGAATTTAATCATAATCTATCTATCTATCTATCTATCTATCTATCTATCTATCTATCTATCTATCTATTGTCTTCATTATCTATCTATCTATCTATCTATCTATCTATCTATCTATCTATGCCAGTCTCTTCATTATCTATCTATCTATCTATCTATCTATCTATCTATCTATCTATTCTAATGTCTTCATTATCTATCTATCTATCTATCTATCTATCTATCTATCTATCTATCTATGCCAGTTTCTTCATTATCTATCTATCTATCTATCTATCTATCTATCTATCTATCTATCTATGACAGTCTCTTCATTATCTATCATTTCGTTCCCTGTACTTTCGACGCTTAGATAATCCCCATAAAGCAATGTTACTCGAAAAAATTGTGCAAAGTTGCTCGCTGTAAAAAAAAAAAAAAAAAAAAAAAAAAAAAAAAAAAAAATCAAGGAAACAAGTTGAAAATTAGATCTGGGACGGCCATTTTGAGATGAGATGTAACTTTTACTCGGGCACCTTCTTCACACAAACCGATGCTTTGTGAAACGACTCCCAAGAGGATGCTTCCCCCGATTATGATAATCTTAACCTGTTCAATTTTG